AATATTTTTATATTTATTAACAATTTTTTGTAGTTATTGTTATTCTTAAGTAATTGTTTTCTAAATTTTTTTAAATATTCTATCTATATTCTTGTAGATGATTGAACTTTAAGAGGACTATCTGAATTCATTGTCAGTCATTTCATGGGTCTCCATCTCTTTAGGGTCCATTGTTGGATCTGTGCATTTGAAGAGCCACCTCTTTCAGCCTTTACAGGTGTTCTTTGGCAGTGTTAGACCTTCATTCTTGGGTGTGGCCTGTGATTCTGGATGAAGCAACTGTTAATGACACGGAGCACAGAGAACTTGTCATCAGGTTCTCTTGCTTGCTGGGCAAAGGCTGTTGCTTTGAGGTTGGAATGGGGCTGCTGGCTGGTTTCCACTTTAGACTACTGACTGGGATCTTTTTAATCAGACAGAGCTTCTGGCTGGGTGCTGCAATTGCTTCTGGTCAGGCTGGGGCATGAGATGCATTTGCTACTGAGGCAGGACCATTATTTGAGTTCTGCAATTGGGCCAGGCTGCAAGTGGCTGCAAGAGTTACTGCTTAGGATGATCAGGATCAGATGTTATCTTCAGAGAGATGCATGGTTAAGTCTTGCTTTCCTGCCAGGGCAGAGCCTTGGGGTGGACTTTAAGGCTAAGGTGAACTGCTGTATTTTTTCTTCAAATTTTAACTTAGGGGGTAAATGAGCAGGTTAGTTCCATAGGCACATTGTGTGATGGTGATATTTGGGCTTCTGTTGAACCCATCGCCCAGATAGTAAGCATGGTACCCAATAGGAAGTTTTTTGACCCTCAACACCCTTCCCTCCCTTCCTCCATCAGGAGTCCCCAGTGTCTGTTGTTGTCTTCTTTATAACCATGTGTACCCAGTGTGAATCATTGCTTGAATACTTGTGTGGTTCAAGTTTAGCTGCTGTGATTTGCCAAAAAACACTGTGGTGGAAATTCACTCCCTGGATGGGGTCTTAGGGTGAGATTTGAGACTGAATTGAACCCTTGTTTGAATTACTTTGTAGTGTAAGTCTAGCCCTGTACTTTGAAGAAAGTCACTGTGTTTGGTATTCTCCTTTGGTATTGGGGTGGGCTTTGAAGATAAGCTGAGCTGGTACTGTTATTGCCACATCCAACAATAGGCTGTTTCCCTCACAGTCAATCAAATATGAGAGGCAGAAAACTGGGAGAAGGAGTTTTATTTTGATACCATGGTATCAGGGAACACTGTGTATCTACCAAAAACTTGTTCATTTAAGCAGAGATTCCATCCAGTGTTTATAATAAAACATACAGTTACCTATCTTTTTCCCACTATTGGTTAATAATGTTTACGTGTCTTATGACCATTACTCAGTTTTCTTCTTAATCAGTGTTTAGACCCCAGTTAATGATGATGCTTAGATTTCATCAGTCTCACTGATGATGCTTAGATATCATCAGTCTCACCATTGTTCTAAGTTGCAATTACCTTGAACAATTTGGGGCTGTGCACTTTCTAGTTGGTTACAGTTTTTTTTTGCTTATTCCAGGAGTTCCAGCTCACAAGGCTTCATTAAACATTATACATAAAATTAATACAAAAATATGAAAGAAAGCAGTAGTCATACAGAGACTAAGGGAACAGATACATTTCTGAACTTTAAAAAGTTTCAGCAGATCCCATTTCTTATCTAGGTCCAGCGGAGGCTTTTCCAGGGACGTGCAATGTTGTTGCCTGTGTCTCCTGCTTATCAGGGGGTTAAATGAAGATGGTTGTGTTCCCTTCAGTACCAGCAACAGTTATAGCTCCAAGGACAGTGAAGAGGGGGACAAGGAAAAAAGTTCACTTTTAAATTCAAACGGTTTCTACATTTAGTCCAACTCAGTTTACTACACGTTTCTAAGTCTTTTCTAAGTAACTATTTCAATATAATCAAAATGGCCTCTTTTCAGCCTGTAACAGTACCTTTGAATGGGTGCCTCCACTCGCCATAGAACAGAGAATCATCAAAATACGAGCACTGGTAGCTGAGTAATACCTCCATTCTTTGTTTCTATCTTACCACAGGCTGTTAACCGTGCCATTACCCACTGTGTTCCCCATGAGGTGGGATCAGAGTGGGGCTTTCTGAGAGGTGTCTCAGAATGCTAAGGAAACTGAATGTTCATCCTTGGCTCCCTTTTCCCACTGTAGAAACCTTGGGTCCAGGGAAACTCTCTCTTTATGGCATTCTGCCAACTAGGGGGAGGGCAAGGGGCAGCATGGTTAAAGTGAGACCATTTATCTTACCTTTCTAATGCAGTTCTTATTTGGTTATATGATACATGCAGATGCTACAGACTTATTCCCAAAGTTTGGCATTTGTGCCAAGATATTCTTGTTTGTGGACAGCTGCTAGTTGAACTTTCTGTAGGCAGGGGAGGCTGGGACTGCTTACACTGCCATCTTGCTGACATTACTCCCCCAGCCATTATTTTAAAAATAAGTTTTCTGTCCCTGTTTGTTTATTTACTCCTCCTGAAATGTCAATAATATATGTGTTGGTTTATTTGATGGTGTACTGTAAGGCTTACAGACTTTCTTCACTCTTTTTCATTCTATTTAATTTTATACCTTTCACTAGAAAATTTTAAATGACCTATTTTTGAGCAGCTAATTCTTTCTTTTACTTGATTAAGTATGCTGTTGAAGCTCTCTATTGATTTTCTTTCCAGCTTAGTCATTGTATTTCAGCTCCAGAATTATTGTTTGTTTCTTTTTTTGTGGTTTCTGTTTAACTTCGTACTTTATTCATGTATTGATTTCCTGATTTTATTTAATTGTTTATCTGTGTTCTTGTGTAGCTTACCAAGTTTCTTTAAAATGATTATTTGATTTCTTTGTCAGGTAGTTCATGGTTCTCCGTCTCTTTATGGAAAATAATTAAAATTTTACTTTGTTCTTTTGGTGTTGTTATGTTTCCTTGATTTTGTGTGTGTGTGTGTGTGTGTGTGTGTGTGTGTGTGTTCCCTGTATCCTCACATTGCTAACTGCACATTTGGAGAAGAAGTCATCTCTTCCAGTCCTTACAGATTGACTTTGATAAGAAAAGTTTTCCAGCAGTCTGCCCAGCCAGAGATTCTGGGTGGGCCAGTTGGCAGTCTTTGGGCAGGCCAGCCTGGCGCTAGGAGTTGTGAGCAGATAGAACAGATGCTGGGGACCCTGCACAAGTCCACAACTTGGAGCAAGGGGCCAGATGTTAAAATCCACACACTGAGTATCAATACCTCCCAAATATTTTATTATTTTTAGCTATTCCTAGGAGTCAATGTTGATTCTTTCAGTGTTTTCAGTGAGGAATGGCAGGAGTGGTGGTCCTCTTGGGTAGCATCCTGAAAGTCTAGGAAAGTTGAATGCATGTTTTGTTTTCGTATTTCCTCATGGGAGGACTCCCAGGTTGGGGGGGATCTCTCTTTGTGCTACACTGTGCTGGCTTGGGTGAGAGGTAATGCAGGCAAAGTGAAACAGTTTTTCCTACAATTTTCAATACGTTGTTTCTCACTTCTGTGCTCCACTGGGGTGCTGAAAACTCTAGCTTAGATTCTGGAGCTCTCTCAAGGTATTTTCATCTATGCATGGCTGATAAATTAGTCTTTATGTTGGGGAATGAGGGATGGAAACTCCTATTTCACCATCTGGCTGACATTACCCCTTTCACCTCTGTTTTGAATTCTCCTTTATTTGATATTAATATAGTAACATTTCACTTAAAATATTTAGTATTTTCCAAATATGTTTCTACTTTTACTTTCAAGCTTTGTATATTCTCGTGCTTTCAGTGTGTCTCTTTAAATACATTGGTCTTTATTTTGTCTTTTACCAATGTGTTATACATTGTATTTTAATGGATGAGTTAGGTTCATTTATATTTAATGTAGATATATGTACTTCACCCAGTAGACCATGAGCTCTATTATCATGTTTATAAGTCAGTTTGAGGTCCCTCATAGACATTGTCATTCTCAATTAAATGAAATGATGAGCAACCGTATGAATATCAAATCAACTGAACTCTATCTGTCAAAGTCTACATCAAGTGCTGGCTCTGCTGATTCATCTATAAAGGATTGCAGTCGGTTTTAAACCACCACAGCCCAGGGACTAACTTTCTTATCAATTACTATTCCTTTTCCATACATTAAATGTGTGCTGGATAAGATGGGGAGCACCTCTAGGTTATTGTGTGTATCTCAATAAGGCCGGGAATGTGGTCCTGTAGTCAGGCTAGAATTGAAGGACCTTGCCAAATTCTAGTTTCATTGTTAGTATGACTTCATTCATTACTAGTGAGATCTGGGGGACACTGTGTTACACATATGTCTTTTTATTACTATAGATATGTATGCTTATTCTAAGCTTGAGCTATATCCTAATCACTGCTGTATAACGCATAGGATTGATAGGGTTTGTAGGGGGATAGGAGAGGAGGTTGTAGTTAAAAACAGCTCATCATTAAAACCTCACAAACGAAGCACAGAGTTGCACTGGCCCAAAAGTTAACACTGTGCTCTAACAGTGTCCCATTACTAATTGCTTTACTGCCAATACCTGCTTTCCTGAGACCCCATCCCAAAACTATGTGACTGATAACAGTCTGGTACTGTCAGTGTTTGCTTTCCTAAGGCTGCATTTCAGAGACAAGTGTGACTGGATTAGTGCAGACATCTGGACTCCAAGACCATGAGAACAACGTTCAACAACACCGACATCTGCATTTGAAGGCCAGATAACTGATAACTCAAACTCCCAAAACCACTTCTTGGCTCCCAATCCAAAACTCCCCCAAATTCAAAGCCTAATAAGCCAAGTCTGGAGTTTTATAAGTGGCCTACAAGAGAACAAAGGCAGCTGGTTTCTCTCTATAGAGCCAGTCACACCCTCCCCCTTTTTCTTTACTTTAATAAACCCTTTTAGCCACCAGCACTTGTCTCTTCCTTCTCAGTCCCAGTCTCCACTTCAATGCTCTCTTTCCAAATTACCCTCATGTCAGCCTCTGAGAAGGTCTCCTTAGGAGTTTTCCCAGAGCCCCATGCATGTCCTTGTTCCTCAGGCTGTAGATGAAAGGGTTCATCATTGGCGTCACCACAGCATACATCACCGTGGCTACCGAGTCCTTCATGGAGTAGGTATGAAGGGGCTGTAAGTATACCATACAAAGTGTCCCATAAAATAGGGAGACCACAGCCAGATGCGAGGCACAGGTGGAGAATGCTTTGTACTTTTTGGAGGTTGAAGGTATTCTGAGGATGGCTCTGACAATCCATGCGTAGGACATGATCATGAATCCAAAGGGAGTAAGGAAGATAAAAGAGCCTGTGGCAATCAGCGCTGTGTGATTAATCTCTGTGTTGGAACATGCCAGCCTCAGCAGTACGTACACCTCACAAAATATGTAGTGGATTTTCCGTGACTCACAGAAGGTCACTCTGGTCATGAGGAGGGTGTGGATGAGGCCATAAAGGATAGATAGGACCCAACACAAAGCAAGGAATAAGATACAGAGCTTAGGCCTCATGGCTGTGGTGTAGTGGAGAGGGCGGCAGATGGCCACATAGCGGTCATATGCCATCACAGCCAGAATGAGGTTGTCCAGGGCCACCAAGGAGACCAGGAAGTAGAGCTGCGTCAGACACCCTGTGTAGGAGATGGCTTTGTTCTGGGACTGGAGGTTCGCCAGCATCTTGGGGATTGTATTGGTCACAAAGAAGAGGTCAATGAAGGAGAGATTGGCCAGGAAGAAGTACATGGGCGTGTGCAGCCGGGAGTCAGAGCCAATGGCCACAATGATGAGCATGTTGCCCACCACTGTGACCAGGTACATGGTCAGGAACATCCAAAACAGGATCCGCTGTTGCTCAGGACTCTCCGAGATCCCCAGGAGCAGGAACTCTGAGTCCTCACTCTGGTTGCCTCATCCATTCCTTCAACTTTCTGCAACATTAGAGCACCAACAAATATTTATCAAGTGCTCTTAACTGAATAAAAACGTGAAGAAAAGCAAGCACATTTTCCTTATTCTTAGAATTAAGAATACCTTACACTCAATTTTATACTTTTTAAGAATAAACAGCAGTGACAAACAGAGCACGAGAGATCTTTATGCAACTTAATCTTTTCAGTAACTTCAAATTTGGTGTATTCAATGTTATAGGAATAAACCTCATTCTGGCTGTGATGATGTATGTCCGCTATGTGACCATCTGCCACTCTCTCCACTATACCACAGCCATGAATCCTAAGCTCTGTATCTTGTTCCTTACTTTGTGTTGGTTCCTATCTATCCTTTATGGCCTCACCTACACACTCCTCATGACCAGAGTGACATTTTGTGGGTTATGGAAAATCTACTACATATTTTGTGAGATGCATGTAAAATAATTTAATGTTAAAATAATTTGTTTTATTTTAAACCCAATTATCTTCCAATATTCTTGAAGTGTTTAATGATTAGTACTTTATTTTATGACAGTGTATAGATTTTCAAATGATATTTAATACAGATCTATGTAATATAAGAAGTATTAATTATATGTAGTATATTTCAAAAATAAAAGGGGAAAATTAAAAATATTTAAATGGAGTAGGAAAAATTATTTTTATTTGTTGACATGATCTATCTGGGAAAAGTTGGGTTACTGACTGAAAGACTATTAGAAATAAAGAGAGATTTCAGAATACTTGATATCAAATCTTTCATAGCTAGTAAGCTCTGCCACTAACTTGCTGTGAAACCTCAGGTAGAATACCAGAGTTCTTTCAGTCTCAGTTTCTTCATGTGAAAACTGAGTCAAGGATTGGAGTAAAAGTAATTATTAAAGTGCTTAACAGAAGAATCTAGCACGCAGTGAGCACTCAACAAATATTGCCTATTATTATATGTAGCAATAATCAGGGAAATGAAGGTTAAAATACAATGAAAAACAATCTCATCCACACTACTAACAAACAAATCACTGTAATGAAATGTCAATAGGAATCAATCAAAATCTTCAAATTCTCCAGTGAGCTACAAAGTAAAAATTAAGCAAATAGATAGACATACTGAGATTTCAGATATAAAGAAAAATGTTGTGAAGGTACATATTCTTCTGAATTTATCTAAAATTTAACTTATTTGATGTCAGAATTATAACAAGTTTTCAAGCAACAAAACTTACCTAAATTTAATCTAAAAGTAAGCATGTCAGTAAGCTAGGAGAATGTTAAAAAAGAGAGTGACAAGATAACACTTGCTCTATAAATATCAACGACTCTAAAACAGTGTGATACCAATGCTGGAATGAACAGATCATAGAACTGGATAGAAACTTTACAGATAGACACAAAAACATGAGAGTTAATAGACTAATATAGTAGCACTTAGCAGGTAAAGTTTGCATTATTCAATAAATGGCATTGGAACAACTGTTTTGGAGGAATAGTTTGATCAGTATTTTGTGTCTTACTAAACACATTTCAAATATAGATTAAATTTTATAGATTATAGTGAAGGTTAATTTACTGAAAATTAATATACCATATTGTCCCTTTTTTCTTTGAAAACCTAGAATTTATGGAATAAAATAAATATATAAAATGTACATTCAATTCCATTATATAGAGATATATTACCTTTATCTATTTATTTGTACTTTCCAGTAGTATTTTACTAATTAGCTATGGCCATCTCATTTTTTAAGTTCTTTTTTCAGTGTCTGTCACTGTTATTAGCTTGCCTAATATAGAACCACACTTGCATTCCCAGTATAAACCACTGGAATTGATTCACTATTGTTTTAGTTAGGCTTTTGTAGTCATATCTATAAATAAGATTGGTTTATGGTTTGTGTGTGTGTGTGTATGATCTTTATTAACTTTTGGGATAATTTGGCACGTGTTAGATTTCACATTGAACTTGTATTAACTTATTATCAATTATAACATTTGGAAGCTATTAAAACTTCTTCAATAGCTTGAGATATAAATTTCAAAAAATTCCACGAAATTTGTTTCCCAAAAAATAATTTTTTTACTTCATTGAAGTATATTGATTATAAACAAAAATTACCGTGTGAATAATTCAAGCAATACAGAAAGGTGTAAATAAATTGAGAATAAAAATCTTCAAAATCTCCCTGAGTAACATGTGGTAACATTCTAGTGCTCATACTTTCATTTTTTTTCATTCAGTCATCTTTATTCATTCAACAATGTGATGAGGCGACTGTCTCCAAGTCAACATTGCCATTTATTACAGATTTCTTCTAGTTAAGTAATCTTATTTTTCAGTCTGCATGATTTTTAAAAAATTCTTAAAAACCTAAAAATTTACCAGCTCTATTCAGTGGTATTTCTTCTTCATTAGCTAATCTGATTGACTTAGAGTGTTTTTCCAATCTAAAAATTATGTCTTCCCTCATTTTAGGAGAATTTTCTTTCACTCTTTTTTTACTTGGCTTACATTTCTTAGACTTCATACTATAACTATAGTTAATATATAGCTAGCATTTCATTTACTTCATTTACCCTTACAGAAACCGTCATAAACTCCAACCTGCCTCATTGTAAACAGATAAACATATTAAAAGAATCATTTGAACAGACTTAGTAGTCTAAGAGAAAGATATCACTCCACACAATCAGGAGAATTGTATTTTTTGCAAGAGACTTTCTTTATGAAAAAAAGAAAACTGAAAAATTAATGCATGATGTCAATGCAGGGGGACACTGCATCTCTCAAAAGAGACTGCTCTACTATCAAGACCTCTTGCTTTGGGGTTAAAAAAAAAGATTAATTGACTCCTGACATGATGGTGTGAAGAGTTTTTCTGATCTACTTTTCAGCAAAATTGGTGAAAATTATAAAAACAGCAACAAAAAAGATGTAAAGCCTCTGGAATTGATTCTAAGGGCAAACAGCAAATGAACACCTATTCAAGTTATTATATGAAAAATCAGTAAGAAGGTGAGAATCTGTGGTGTTAGAACTAGGACTGCTCCTCCCCCACCCCAGCTTAGTGAGTTGGAAATTCTACTTGATGGCTACAACCCAGACACAAAACTCCCTCTTCCCCTAAGTTATAGTAAGAGGGATTTGTTCCCAGCAAGAGCAGGACTTCAGCATTTCTCATCCTGCCTTCAACTACCTACCTGTTGCTGAGGCTAAGTCTTCGTCATCATGTTGTAGAGAAGTGGAAGCTTTCTTCTGTCTAGCTCTCACTGTGGAATGGATGGAGGCTCTACCTTGGTGTGGAGTGCTGAGAATATAGAATTCTGACTACCCTTGACCTGGTTCATTAGTTTGTTGTTCTATGACAGGAGAGGTAAGCCGAGAGGACCTCAGTCTGCTGCCCCCTTCCAAACCTCCAGCAAGTGTTCAGTCCTGGGATGGTGTCACTCAGATTGCTCATTTCCCCACACCCAGCTCTACAGCCTTGTCTCAGAGATTTTGCTTGGGAATAGAATCAGTTGTAAAATAAGTAGTTCTTAACATCTTCCCAAAGGAGCTGGCTTTGTTAGTATAACAGAGTATTGAGAAATTCAAGCCTAAAGGTGCTCTCAAGAATGGTGGAGGTTGTGATGCATGGCAACTGGAAGGAGAGTCATGAATTTAAGGATGATGCAGTTCAGACTGTAGGCCTGTTAATGTGCAGAAGAGAATTAGCAGCTCTCCTGGGGTCAGTACAAATATCCATCGCTGACCTCAAAAACTATTCCTTCAGGAGTCAAATTTGACTGGACTAGTTAGTATTGCAATGTATGGCCCAGAGAACTGTTGAAACAATAGCATTATCAGCTGGCAGTTAGTGGCGTTTAACAGCTGAGTGTGGTCAGGGAAAGGAGCAAGACAGTCCTTCCAATACCACTGTCAGTTCTCATGACCACAGGCACTAAACAAATAAACAAGTAAATAGCAATAACCAGTCACATTAGGGGAGACTAGTACCTTGAATTGCTGCAACAGATTATCTAAGATGCCCCAATTCCAACAAAAATTATGAGCCATTAAAAGAAACAGAAAGATATTCACATGTCAGGAAAAAATAGGCAATAGAAAACTGCCTGGGAGAGCAAGATGATGTCAGGCTTCAATGAGAAAGACCTTAAAGTAGAGAAGTGCAAGACCTTGACAATGAAAACGACAAAATACTGTTCAAAGAAATCCAAGAAGACACAAGCAAATGGAAAAACATTCCACACTCATGAATAGGAAGAATCAGCATTGTTAAGATGTCCATCCTACCCACGGCAATCTACAGATTCAAAGCAATACCCATTAAATTACCAACACCATTCTTCTCAGAACTGGAAATGACAATACATAAATTCATATGGAAACATAAATGACCATAAATTGCTAAATAGCAAAAGAAACAAAGCAGGAAGTATCACACTTCCAGACTTTAAACTTTACTATAAAGCTACAATAATCCAAACAGCCTGGTTTTGGTACAAGAACAGACATATGGACCAATGAAGGACAGAGATTCCGGAAGCAAAACCTCAATTTCTCAACCAACTCATCTTCGACAAAGCCTCCACCAACAATCACTGGGTAGAGAAAAAGCTATTCAGTAAATGGTGCTGGGAAAACTGGCTGACAACATACAGAAGACTGAAACAAGATGCTTACCAATCATCATACACAAAAGTCAACAATAAATGGATCAAAGACCTAAACATAAAACCTCAAACTATAAGAAACTTAGAAAATGCAGGAGGCACCCTTATGGAAACTGGAACCGGCAATCAATTCCTGATCAAAACCCCTCATCTTTAAAATAAAAAATTTAAAGAAAAATCATAGAATTAAAAAATAAAAATAAAAAAAAGAAAGTAGGAGAAAAATTACACAAAAAATTAAAAATTAGAAAAAGTTAAGCGGGCAAAGGACATGAATAGACATTTCTCAAAGGAAGACTTACACATGAC